CCGTGGAAGAAGTTGTGGGAGTGTTAATTCAGAGCTGTTGGCACGAGTTTTTCGGGGCAAATTGCAGCAACGCGATTGTCCTGAAACATTGTGTGCCCAAGATTGGCCAAACGGTGTTCAAATGTTGGGCAATGGGACATGCACGGGCGAAAATTTGTTGATTGGATGGGTTTTCAACCAGACATGAAGCCGTGGAAATGGTACACGGGAATGGGGGAATGGGGCAGGGTGGGCGCGAAACATGGAGCAGCATTAGTTGCCTCCACGTCTCGTTTTGGCATGAAATGTGGACGGTTTGCTGGCGCACATTACGCTGTTGGGTTCTTTTCCTGTGTGCTGAGTACTGTTTGTCCAATCTTTTGGACGCGTTGATTTTGCTACGCTTTTGGGTCCTTTTCTTTGTGCTGAGTACTGTTTATCCAATCTTTTGGATGCGTTGATTTTGCTGAAGCTGCGTGGCCGAAACGGCGCCGGAACTTTGCGCCGTGCTGTGTGCCATGGCGAAGCAAAAAAAGGAGAAAAAGAAAGCAGGAGCCAATGATGTCTTGATTTGTTTTGTCAGCTCTGTTGTGGAAGAAGCTGCTTTTTTTTTTGGCTGTCTCTCGCGTAGCCACAGGGTAATGGACTGGAGAGGTTAAAGAAAAGAAGAAAGGTGAGAAAGGAGCCATTCATGCCTCGAATGTGACAGTGCCGTTTTGTTTGAATGAAACTCGGGAGTTGTGGCTGGTCGTTTGAAAATATACACAGACGGGCACGTTTCATGTGATTTTAAATACATGGATCTTGGTGTATGCCTATGCAGGAAACAGAAGACAGCGCGGCTCGGAAGAAAAGACGACAGGACTTGGGACATTTTAGCTCGCATTCATTGAGGTCTTTGGATTGGGGGCGGCGACATCAGAGGGAATGGTGAATAGTTGCATCTATATATGTAAATCCTCGTAAACATAGACGCATGCATTTCATGTGATTTTACATAAATGGATCTTGGTGTAGCCTATGCAGGAAACAGAAGGCAGTGTGCGTCGGAAGAAAAGACGACAGGACTTGGGAAATTTTGGCACGCATTCATTTCGAGTGTTGGACGATTTTTGGAACTCAAGTACAATAGCTTGTTTACCGCGCATACTTGCAGTGCTCTGGGACCCAATGCCTTGCTTATGCTTCAACAGATGTTTCCTGCAGAGACTGTTTCGGCAGCAGTCGATGGACCAATTTGGCAAGAGTATTTACAGAGGGTCATGGCGAAGCTGCGTCTCGAATTACGACCTTTTGCTGTCAAATTGTTGGGTCTAGAAAATGCAAATTATTTGCTGTCCTGGGAAATCCTTGTGTCTCGTTGTATAGCATAACACTGGTGGAGCATCTGTTGTGCGAATGCCGCAAAACCTTCCAAGCAGAGAACCGTGCCCACAAGAAACGGAAAACTGGAACTTCCGACGGCGAATATATGATTTTGTGGAAAGCTGCTTGGGATGCATTTCTGTGTCCTGGAAGCGGCTGCCAGGGATCTGCCCCACAGTCATGAGCAAAAAGGAGGGTGCCGATTTTCACCTGAATCAGTGCAGTGATGTTTCCATTCCTGATGGCAAAGTGTTCCTACAAAGCACGGCTCATAAAAATTGTTGGAGATGGGATGCGCTCTTGCATCTATGCAAGCCCAATGGGAGGGAGGGAGGGTCTCTGAAGGAAAACATATCTATTTTCCCTTGCTAATATGATTTCACCTTTCTAACCGTAGAAGTGTTTTTGCATACCACGTGGTTAAGGGTAGGGATAGCCCCTGTACTGCTACACACTTGCCTGTCAGACCTGGCAGGAGCGCGAGTCATCAACTGATGCAGCGCACCTTGCGGAAAAAACAGATGCGAGGTAGAGAAAGCATCTGAGACGAAGCAACTCCGTAAAACATATCTCTATAGAGATGTATGTACGTGGAAATCTAAATGCAAGAAGAAGTACGCACTGCATAACATTGTTTATACTGATGTCGCTGTAGATCTGTTCAATGCTGCCAGCTTCTGTGGCTGTTGCCGCGATCCTTTGACATGAGGTGGGCTTGCTCATGCGATATTGCAATGGGACGGTGAAAGGTTTATTGGGACATGGGCCAAGACTGGTGAAATGCCCATATGTTCGGTAAATCTAGATTTGCGTGTGTGAAAGAAATTATAAGTTTATGTATGTATATATGATATTTTCCCATATTGACAAACCGCAGTTTCCTCGAAAGCACATCGAAGACTTCCTCGTGCACGGTAGAAAAAGGCGTGCTGTGAGCCGTGTTGCTTTTGGGCTCGCTGGCCCACCTTGTTTTTATCAATTCATATCAAGTCATTTTATTGCCTAAGCTTCGCGCCCTAGCTGCCGTAAAGAGCTTGCTGCATAGCATCTTCTTCTAAGAGCGATGAAGTGCAAGACTGCGCTCTACGTGAAACGCACTGCGTAGTATGCCATGATTCAAATGCTTCTTTGTTACATAGTATACAGATTTTTGCCGTATACCGTATACCAATATTTTTTGCCCCTTTGGCTGCAAGCCAATAATTTGCGAGATAGCATCTCATTGTCTGCATGTTCTATCCCCGTGTGAATGTCCTTCACAAAAAAGGGATATATACTACCACCCCTTGATAGGCCGCCCATTTTGTAGTATATAACGCTACCTTGGGATACCACATTTTCAAATAGCCATGTTGTGGTATATTCCAACTTGCCCATAGTTTATGCTGAGCTTGGCTAACCCTTTTGTAGTAAAATTGAGAGTGCGGCCATTTTAAGCGATTTTGGATCATGCTTGTGTGCCAACACAGCGCAAGGAACCAATGCCAAAAACAACCACAAAGCGAAGCCGTCCCAGATGGGCCAGAAAAAAAAGTGCCTACTAAAGTTTGCGATGAGCTAGTCAAACGCGCGGAGACGGATTGGGTTCCTGCCAGAAGTTCGATGGCAAAATGCAGCAGATTGGGAACAGGCAAGCATAGGGTTCTGAAGGGATTGTCAAAAACCCTTTTTGTAGTAAAAGCTGGTTTCTGTTTGTTTTCGTGCTGAATTTGGTTGCCCGATTAGTCGTAAATTCATGTTCACCGTAGGCAAACCTTTCTTGGAGGCACGTTCACTTATGTTCACTTAGTTGAGGCACTGATTGTGGATACACCCTAGTTGAGCGGCCATCCACACAAAAAGGGGGCTCCCGACCCTCCAAATTCACAGGAGGATAACTTTGTTCCCATGGCGACATACGCGAGTAGTGCGGCCCGGTATTTCGCACCCATCCAGCCAGCCGGCCGGCCCGGCGGCCACAAACCAAGCCCCAGCTGGCCGGCCGGCCGGCCACAAACCAAGCCCAGAACTAGCTAGCCACCGTGCTGGCTGAAGCCAAGCGAAAGCAGGGAGACATACAGCCAGCCAGTCAAGAAGCAAGCAGGCGGCCGGCGGGCCAAAAACCAAGCCAACCAGACAGCGTGGCAGCCAGCTGGCCGGACGGCCGGCGGGCCAAAAACCAAGACCAAGCCCGGCGAATGAAATGAATGAATGCCCGGACCTCCTAAAATGAACATGTCTCTTGTACTGCGCTTGCCACGGAAAATGCATCTTTGCAGACCCTCTTCAAATGTCCCACGCCTGCCATCGTTTTTGGAAATGCCACAAAACCCTCAGGTTTTGCTCACTTTTGACAAGGTGCACAATCCCTTGCGCCTGCCAGGCAAGACGACGCTTCAACGTCCCCTTGTGGCGCGTACATGTGGTGAATTTGTGGATTTTGACTTCGAAATGTGCTTCGCACCACAACGGCGTGCACTTTTTGAACATCTCAACTTCCACAGGTGCTCCGAGGCTGGTGTTTTTTGTGCATTTTGACTTCGAAATGTGCTTTGCGCCACAACGGCGTGCAATTTTTCATCTCTCATCTGGCTAGCTGGCTCCGCACCCGACGCTTTAGCGAGCCTACTTTTCGACCCTCCTGAGCCACAAATCATGGGAAAAAAACACACTGTTTCGCGACCTCCCCATACCCTTTCGCGCACCTGGATTTTCTTTCTTCGGAGACTTTCTCTTTTTGATCTTCTTTCTTCTTCTCTTCTCTTCTCTTCTCTTCTCTGACTCTTCCCATCTCTGCTTTTCATCTGTCCATATTGTCGGAAGTTTGACTTCTAAACTTCCTTCGACAACTACAACTACAACTACATTTCATTACACTACACTACACCACACTACACCACACTGCACCATCACTACACCACACTTCACCACACTAGACTACACTACAAGACGCTACACTGTTACACTACACTACACTACGCTACACTACGCTCAATTACACTACACTGCGCTGCACTCAATTACACTAGACTACGCTACACACCACTACACTACGCGACGCTACACTACACTACACTACACTGCACTACACTAACCACAACTACAGCTACAACTACAACTACGCTACTCTACACTACACTACACTAGACTACGCCACACTACACTCCACTACCCTACATTACATTACGCTACGCTCATTGCACAACCACAAATGCAACTGCCCTACACTAATTACATCTAATTACGCTACACCACAACTACAACTCCACTACACTAAACCTACCACTACAGCTGCACTACACCACACTATATCCAGCAGTTGTGGGTGAGGTGACCCACCAGGTGACCACTGCAACCATTGCAACCACTGCAAAAAAAAAGCACAACTCCAACCACCTTTCGGTCCATCAGTGGATTCGCTCTGCCATCCATGCATCACAACAACCCGCCTCTCCTATAGTGTTCTATCCTTGAAACTTCCGCCACCGCCTTGTGCGGTACTACTGGTCTACAATAACCATGCAGCCAGCAGGATTTCGATCGGCCACGGATGGATTTGAATGAACTTAGGGGCGTGCGTCCCGCACACACACACACACCAAAAAAAAGTTCCATCTGTTTGATGTCCCGCAATGGGGCGAAACCATACGAAACCGTCGGCGAATATCCACTATGACCTGCAGCAGCATCTTGCCCAACGACGCAGGGGTGACAGCTTCTTCTTTTTCATGTCCATTTCGATTTTGACAAGGCCTGAGCCCCATTGCGAAGAAATGCAAGGATCCACAACTCAAGGACACTTCGCTGCCATAAATGCGGGGAATTGATCTGGCCCAGCGGCTGAAATGTCTTTCAATTTCTTCTCGAATCTTTTCCTATTGCATCAGGCAAGGCGGGGTTTCAACATTCCGAAGCAGAACGTCCTGCAAAACATCCCTGAATGCCTGACAATCAAATGTTGACAGCACAAACGAAAAAATCAAGCATCTCTTTGCGCAGGTAGCCGGTGGGCCTACCTGTATGTGGTTGCCTCATGAGGGATGCCTTAAGGGGATACCCCCGTCAACATACCTCAGAATAATAAAAATATTATTCCGGCATCCGTTGACTTCAAAAAAAAATATTCTAAGAACTCAATGAGTCCATATGGAAAAATGGAATAATTTCCATCAAAATGATACCGGTATAGTCTATTTCTAGCCAAATGCAAGTGATCGTAAGCAGCTGCGCGCAAACGGCCGAAAACGGTTTCCCTTCTTGCAGAGCTGGGGCACAAATTTAAACAATTTTCAACATAATCAGATAGGATCAAGAAGAGTCAGAATAGTATCTTTAAACAAATTTCCTCTCAGCAACCCACTGGCTGAACATGGTTTTAGTTGGTTTTGGGTGTTTTTCCAGTTTCTGGGCTAGTTTGGTGGTTCTGGCCTTAGTGGGAATGAGTGGGAAAAGCAAAATATTTGGTTGTCACTGGTTAATTCTTTTTGCCAATTTCTGGATTTGTTTTGTAATTGTAGCAGCTGCCCCCTTTTGTTTTTCAGGGGTGCCAGGCATCTCCAATACCTCCAGAATAATTTCTCACCTGGGGAAAGCCCGAAAAAAAAAACAACAACAACTTGGCTCTCTTCTAGAGGTTTTCCCAACTTTGCGTACACTCCCCCTATTTCTTCCATATTCCCTTCATTTATTTCCTTCCAAAAAAATCCCGTTGGCCATAACGGGAATGAGCGGGAAATGTTTGAGTTTCATTTGTTTTATGTTAGTTCTTGCCAGTTTCTGGGCTACTTTGGTAATTAGCTGACCACTTTCGTTTTTGAGGGGTACCAGGCATCTCCAATACCCCTAGAATAATTTCTTCCCTGGGGAAAGCCCGCAAAATGGCACTCAACCTGGCTCTCTCCTACAAGTTTTCCCAACTTTGCGTCCGCCCCCCTATTTCTTCCATATTCCCTTCATTTCCTTCCAAAAAACTCCCGTGGGAATGGGTGGGAAATGTGTGGATTTCATTTGTTTTTTGACAATTCTTGCCAATTTCTGGGCTAATTTGGTGATTAGCTGTCCACTTTCGTTTTTGAGGGGTACCAGGCATCTCCAATACCCCTAGAATAATTTCCCCCCTGGGGAAAGCCCACACAATGGCACTCAACCTCGCCTTTTCCTAGGTATTTTCCCAACATTCCCTATTCATTGCCACCCAAAGAGCTCTCGAGAGAAAGTACCGTGAGAGAAATGTGGTCCGGTGGACACTAGTTGTGCGTGCAAGTACGCTGCAAAAAAAGGGTTGGCAGCAATTGCCCAAACTGCATGATGCCTTAAATAACTGCAATTGGCATTTCCAGCAAAAAGTTTTCAGGCAAACACCGCCAAGCTAGGAATGGCTTTTGGAAAGGCCAGGCCAAATGTAGGAAGTATAGGCTGCTTCAAGATGTTTTAAGATGTTTTAAGTTACCAAAAATTATTCCAAAACCTAATTATTCCGGGGTATCTTGACGGGCTGGATCATGATTTTCAAATTCCAACATGCATAATCGTATACCTACTCCCCTCAAAAATTATTCCTTGAAAATTATTCCAAAACAAATTATTCCATAACCTAGTTGATACCCTGGAATAATTTCTTAAGGCATGGGTCATGTTGCCTCCATACCCAAAAGGCCTATACAATCCTACATGTACATGTGCAGGTGCCGGCACAAGTAACCCTACTAGAGCAAACGGGATGGCTGGAGACGACGGCGGCTAAACCAGCTCAGCGGCAATCAATTTATATCATTCTTGACGGTTCTTAATTAGCGAGAATCTTCAAACCAAGCGCTACTTGCATATGTGCTCGAAAATCAGCGAATATTTGCAACGTTTGTAGAACCTGGGCTAGCGCCCGCGGTGGATGGGCTGTAGGTCTCCCTTCATCCAACCTGCTTTGCTAATGACATTTCGCCGTTACCACACGAAAACAGCAATTTGGTGATGTTTGGCGTGATTTTTTACAAATGCTTTCCTACATTATCACCCCGGCAGCACCGGCGCATCCTTTCCTGGCCTTGCTTGCTGAGGCGTTTTTCCCTTAAGGTCGCACGGGCTGATCCTGACGCTCAGATACCTTGTTTAAAATTTGGCATATTACGCAATCCCCAACGCGCGACTATTGCCAGTCAACGCATGGCCAAAACACGATTGGAATCAAAACATCTCCGGCGCATGCGTTCTGACAACGCGGGCGGAAGAAAAACACTTTGCTGAGATCTGCATAGTGTGTTTGCGCGAGCCTGCACCATTTTGCAACAGATTGGAAAGGATCCATCGTTGTGAAATGTGAGCCGTCAATCAAACCAGCCTGCATTGTGCGTTCAAACTCTCTAGAGCCCACTCTTGCTGCGATTCTTTCTTGCACCTGCAGAGTTCAATATATATATATATAATAATATATACACATACATATATAACATATATAATTTGACTCAGCATGTGCGGGGTGCTTGGGCTGCCGGACTCTGACATCTTAAGATGGTGCAGACACTCCACTGCTAGTTTTTGCCCCGCAAGCCAGATGCAAGAAAGGGTCCAAATCCTTCATGGTATTCAACAGGCTGCCGCGCTGCCATATATGTTTTTTGGTTTCGACTGCAGCAGCTTGAGCCCAAGACCTGTCGCTCAATTCGCTTCATCATGGCATCTTTTCGCACCTCCTCTCTTCCTCTTTCTTCTGAAGGTCGATCCTCAATCAATCCCACGAGAGCGTCGATCAAGCATCGAATGAAAAACAAAATAAAATGCGTTATATAATCACTAAACGAATACTTCCCTTCGAACCAAGTGCGCTGTGTTTGTTTTTGCATTTCTCGTCTTTGCTAAGAAGTTGCTTTTCCTGGACACCACTGCTGGTTCTGGCCTTCCAACAAATTCCGGCCGTTCCAACAAATTCCGGCCGTTCCAACAAATTCCGGCCGCGCACACACACATACACACACTAGACAAGAATGGATCATTATATGATCCGGCAGGAACTGAATCCTGAAACATGCAGATTAGATATGAAACAACGAAAATAACGATGCACCCTACGAATAATGGAAGTTCTCCTGAATGGTTTCATGGCCAAGATCGTCATCAAAAAGTTATATATCGGCGACGTGGTTTTGATGAAATAATCCAAATACATCGGCGACATGGTTCGGCGAAATAATCCAAAAAATCAAGAATACTGTCGGCGACATGGTTTCGGCGAAAAACTGAGGAAGGTTCTGATGCATAAACTACAGATTGTGGCAACCATGAAGGAATAAAATCATGGTAGTTGGGGTTCTGAGCTTGGCCCCTTGCTATGTCGGAAAAAGCAGGTACGTCAGGAAAGCGTCCCTTCCTGATATCCTAGTCTGACACCTGGAGCTTCGTTGGCCCACGCCAGGAATCAGACCCGTGGGCCCCCTGCAAATGTGAGAAGATTAGAACAAAAGAAGTTTTACATCTGTTCAGATGTTACACACACACACACCCCGCATGTAGCGGGGTTTGATTATTTTGGAAGAACATCGCGGCTGAGGTCGGCAGAACCAATCAAATCCAATAAGGCTACACGGTGCTAGTGTACATCGCCGCGGTCATTCACTCAGAAGGGAAATTCGCTTCGAGTTGAAGTATTTGGATCGCGTCACGGAAGCTCATGCCTTCAACCATCCTCCACGTGTCGTTGATTTCCCCAGATGCCATAGCGGCTGTCAAAGTGGCTGAAAGTTGTTTGGCCAGCTCCTGGATCTTCGTAGTTAAGCGGGTTGCCTCCGTAGGAGAAGTGGTCTCAATGGGAACATTGTGAAAAGGATGGTGCCCATGTACTAGAGGAATCTCAAAGTGATGGCGCCAATAATCCGCAGTGCGCAGGGACCACTCCCAATTGCCCGACCATAAAAGTAGTGCTCGGGATCACGACATTTGGAGAGCCCCGACATGGGGATCTCTTCGATGAATAACTCCCTGGTATTGTTGGAGTGGGTAATGATCTTGAAGTGGATCTGGTGGACCACGCGTGATGAGAAGTGAGCACCACGGAAGAAGTTGTAGGTAGGACTTGGCTCAGTCGGGAAAGGAACATCAGGAAGTGCTGGGCCTGAATATGTATCGGTGTGGGGCGTGGTTCCGATGTCGTTGGTTGTAGTGTCAGCTGCCGAAGGTGCCGAGGTGGTCGAGGTCGTAGGGTCAGGGGCGATAGAGTGACATAGTTCAGAAGCCTGGCCACCTGACACTGGATCAAGGGCTGTGGAAGCGAGTCCACGGTTGGGATTCGAAGGCCAACCCAAGCCCGCCACGGTAGCGTCACGTTTATGCTCCATGGGTGAGACGGTCAGAAAATGCGTAAAATAGCAAAACCAAAGGCTGAGGAATCAGGAAAATATAAATAAGCCGAGCCAAAGAATAATAATAGTAGTAATATCCAAAGGTCAATCCTATTGTTCTGAATCCACGGAAAGAGCCATGCACGGAACCTAAAGTGGTGGAAATGAATCCAGAGGTGAAATTCCAAAGAGTCCGCCGTGTCAATGGAGTGTCATGGATGAAAGGAAAAGAACAAGTCGGGCATTTTCCTGTTCACCAGTGAAGCACATCAGGGTAGGATAACTCCAGGGCTAACTTTATGGCATCTCAGACGTAACACGAAAGGCTGTGAGGTACCTGGTACGAGCAAAGTGGATTCGATGTAGTTGTACTGCCGGATTCGCCAGTCAGGACGGTATTCCTCCAAAAGCTGCATGACAGTCCAATCATTGGGAACTTGGAATGCATCACCTTCCAGATCGCAATAGCGAAACTCCAAATTCGAAGGGTCAAATTGGATGTCCCATTGGGTCCTCAATCTTGTTGTGATGGCGGGACGTAGGTCTCGAATGGGAAGAATGCCTGCTTCAATTGGTTCCAGCTGGCGTGACCAGGTAAAAAGAGCTTCAAGTTCGCCTGCACTAACATTCTTGAAATTTGAATTGGCAAGAGCCATGTAGAGATCACGGTCAGGTTCACTACGGTGTGTCAATCCCTGTAAAGGAGAGTAGTCAACTAAAATCAGAACAGGTCTGTATGGAGGAGGGTCCACATCACCAGGAAGGCCTCGGTGTCCGGCAAGCCATGCAGCAGTTCGGGGACCTTGTGGTGTATCAACCCTGGATGTAGCGCGATATGGGTGAGGGCGAGAAGAATGAGCCATGGCGTCGAGTATCAAGCGTGAAGCCCAGGCTGCGACATAAGAATACTATAGTGATCGAAAAATAAAGCCCACAAGCAAAACATGGAAGAAGACGGTGTACTTAGTGAATAGTCACGAATCGACGTTTAGTCACTGTTCTTTTTTCATTCCGCAAAATGATGTGGTGTGTTACACACTGGAGTCAGACATATCCATCGGGCCAGGGTCGTTCGCATCCAGTGGACAATGTATATGGTGAGCAGGTGCGGTAGGGTGATTGGAATGTAAGGTCCGGTGAAATGTTGCCGATGGTGAAGAAGGTGGTGTAGATCTCCATGGTGGCCAAGATAAAGAAGTAGTGGTACCTTGCGAATGGTGTTGAGCCGAACGTCCCCAGCATGATTGTAAAATGTGAAGCTGGTCCGGTATCGCTTCGTACGGTTGAGAAACGTAGACATTGGTGTGTTCAGGATGTGGGAGAACAGGAACGGAAGTTGCCGTAGAGGAGGAGGATGATTGGATGGGTACATCATAGTATTGGCGCCAATGATTAGCCGTAGTGCGTAGGGTGGCACGATCTCTGGTGAGGTGCATGTTCTCCAAAAACGTTTCCACTGGCTTCCACGTTTCAATACCATCTAGTGTCCTTTCCACGATCCAAAGTTCATCAGGACGAGAAGACAAGGGATAGCTCAGCTTCTTGATGAATACGGAATGAACGGTTGTAGAGGTTGGAATCATTCTAGCTGCCCTGGGAATATACGATGCTGAAGTAGGATCATCAGGTGGGAGATGTGGGTCTGGGCCATGTATTGATGTAGGTGAGGAGCGGGTTGAAACCAGCCGAGCAGCATCATCAGTGGCGGAGGTCGTCATGTACAGAAGCAGTAATATGATATCGAAAAGAACTGAACTGAAGCCGAAATTCCGTTGGAAGAAGTCCATATTGAAATAAACAACCACGAGAAGCACAATATGGGAAACATGAGAAACAGGGGATACAAAAAATGAAGGTCAATATCAAGGCGGAGGACTTCACGACCTGTGCGTTTCCCTTTTTCCTAGACGTGAGCGAATCAAGGTTATGTCTCAAAAGGCTAGTCACGCGGCAGTCTTTGTGTATCGGGTGGCAGTGACGAATGGATGCCCTCGAGGAATCACTTGAAGATGGACAGCGAAGCCCGTGTCTTGTGGATCTGGATGGGGTGTCAGCAACAAAGGTGAACACCCACGGGACGTGAAGGCATCTAGATGTTGATGAGTTTTCCATGACGGGTAGAACCAGTTCAAAATGTCCAGGAGAGAATGAGGGAGGTCATCAAGCATCTGAGCTCCTTGATCGGTGTCGATCATCATGTAGAAATCTGTCGCCTGTAGGTGTATCGACCATCGCTGTAGAAGCGTGTCCGTGACCACTGTTTTTAGGTCTGAAACGAAATGACTGCGAGCGTAGTCAGGGCCTGTCAGGGTAGATCACCTTGAAAGTCTGGAACAGGCTGTCATATGCTTCAGTGGAGAGGTTGCCCGCGACCTTGGGGGCCAGGATGTTGTAATATGGGTTTCTGGCGGCCAATTGCTGCATAGGTTTCAGGTCCAATTGGAAAATAACCGGTCGATGGGGTGTAGAAGGCGGAGATGTCCGGTTGGGTGGGTGCTGAAAAGGCGAAGAACCCATAGCGGAAGACGGTGCCCTGGTTGGAGAGCGTGATCGTCGGGTAGGAGAGATACTGTCGTTGGCCATAGCTCGCTGTTGGCAATATCGATCCAGGTGAATGCGGAGAGACATAGTAAACGGCTGGCGGTGTGTATAATGTGGAAGTTCAAGGTTTAAGTCGAGCAACCATGTCAAAAGGGTTGCGATAGTGAAAAAGTATAGTTCGAGGTAAAGCAATACCTTGACGTCAAGAAGAATAGATACACAGGAGTTTGGGTAGTGAAAATGTTACACGGTGCCGCGGGACATCTTTTTCTTGTTTGCGCGTCGCCGGTGGTCAGCCAAGTCTGTCTTTGATCTTATTCCACATAGAGCGAACGTCTTCCTCCGATTTGCCCATCTTGGTCGAGATCACCCGCCACGAAAATCGAGACTTCTCGTCCGCCTTCAAAGTACGAAGTTTCTGTTTGTCTTCAAAGGTCCAGATTGACAATGGGCTCGAGGAACGGGATCTGGATTTGTCAGGTCGGCGACGACGTTTTGCAGGAACTTTGGGGACTGCTTTGGCTTTCTGTTTGCGATTCGGAGGTGATGATGTGGTGGTTGAAAGCTTCGAGGGTGCAGGTAGGACTTCAGGTGACGGGGCAGCAACGTGGTGATGTGGTTCAGGAAGATGGGTTTCCAAAAGTTCATCCATAAGTGCCTCTTCCTCAGCTATATCCGGCGAAGGGATGTGGGCAGTGTCAATAAAGGCGTTGGTCCGGTCCGAGTAGTGCGGTCGCAGCCCATCGGGTTGATTCCATACGTCTGTGCTGGGAAGAGGTGTAGGTTCAATATTGGGGATAAGAGTAGGTGGAAGTAACGCCATTGCTCGATGTAGTAGGAGGTAAGCA